CAGTCTGGGAACGTCAAATTGTTGCGCTTGTTGATTGATTATGGGCCAGAGATCCATGACTCGAGCAGCTCGCGGCTCACGCGGTTGTAACTTCTTGCTAGGATCTCGGCCTCGTTAAACTTAAAAATATGGCCGGGGCTTGTCAAGTGAGCTGCAACCTGGGAGTTCTTGTCTTTCTTCCTCAGCGCCGCTGCGTGCTCGGCCACTCGTGTCCGGAGTAAGCTCCCGACTTCTACGACGTAGTTGCTGCGTCCACAACTGCACCAGATCCAGTAAACGACTCCAGCCGTTTCCTACCGTGGCAGTGGGTCTTTCGGTCTCATGACCCGGCGTCTCATGGTTGCTTCTGGCGTGTGCGCCACTCCAACTCCAAGTGGGGCGAGAAGGCGGCTAACTGCTTCTGATACATTCTTCAAGTGCGGTTAAGCTCACCAAACTTTTGGGCCCAACATGCTCAAATCGCGTCGGAGTGACCGATATATAGCGGTCCAGTGTGATAGATTGACTTTAACCACCGTCTAATAGGAAAAGTCAATCAGCTACGAGGAGCGATGTATTCGATACACGATGAAAGTTGCAGTGACATGGCTGTTTTTCTTGTGTGTGACTGAAAAAACGTCCGTTTGGGAGCCTGTGAGCAGCTGTGCATTGTTTACAGACTTATATTTGTTTGTATCAGCATGCAGTAGTGAGTGTCTTTCGGTTGGGTGCGTGATTGGTTAGATCAAGGGTGAGTCTGTGGGGAGCGTAACCACTAAGGTCTTTGGGTGACAGTGCGTCCCTTCGGGAGCGTGTGAGCATCGGTGCGCTGTTCACACGCTTGTGTTCGTTTGTCTAAGCATGCGGGAGTGGGGTTCTTTATGTTGGTCGCATGATTGGTTGGGTCAATTACCGAGTCTGGGGTCCATAGGTGATTTCGATACGATGAGGGCTACGCGCCCTGGACGGAAGTCAGGCCTCGATGAGAATCGTTTTAATGCTTTAATCTGACCAAATCCCAGTTATTCCCCTCAGGAATTGGTCAGAGAGGGGGATACGGTAAATCAACGATAGCTCGACCTCTCCAATCGATAGGAACGGTGCAAATGCTTGGTTCTTGGGTTCCATATGCTTGGAGTGAGGACAATAAGATTCAAGGTGCTCCATTATTGCTCGATATCACTTCACCCTTCAGCAACGTAAACATGTTGAAACTGATTATTTCTGGCGATTAAAACCTGAATATGAAACAAAGTAAAGGATGCCTAAGAACCAATAAACTAGGAGGACCTGTGGCAAAACCTGATCTTCACCCTCGCAAGATTATGCTGTGCCTGATTGGATGTGGAGGGATTTCTCCATATTTCATATTTTGAAGTGAACCATTCGTGCAAAATATTACAATCCGCAACCACGCTATCTACATGGAGCAATTCAACAAAAACTGACAAATCGTTGAATTGGTATCATTTTGCGGCATGACAACGCTAGGTCCCACGCCACAAAATTCACCATAAATGTTATCACAGAGTTAGGTTGAGAGGTTCTTTTACGTCCGTCATATTCTCTGCAACTTGTTCTATTTGACTACCATATTTTTCGTTCACTGCAAAACAATTTGACTGGGGTATCCTTCCGTAACAGTATGCGTCTTTATACTTCCACTTTTGACGCAAAGAAGTCCTCGAGCCATTATTTCTTCAAGTGCAGGATTGAAAAACTGTTTGAGCATTGACAGTTGGTTGTGAAAAATGAAGCCAAATCTATAATTGATTGATTTTGTGAATCTTATATGGCAACAAGGTGAAACTTTTAGTAATCGAACACCGCACTTATGATTAAATATCTCCGCTTATATTAACCCTTTGTGGCAGTTGTTTTCTCACGCAAAAATGCAACCTTTGTCATTATGTCCTATTCTCCCTTTTCCTAGGCCAATAGCATAATGGAGTTGATCTATCGTATACCGGGTCTTGAGGAGGACAATCTGCCCTACGTGGAACAACTGACCACCCCACCTGTGCCCGTTGAGCAGTACTCCCACCTGGCGATTTTAGCTGAGCACCCCTTCGGACTGAGAGGTATTCTTAGTCGTCTGACAACCGTGCGAGACGCCCTCAAGGGCCGTGAGCTGCTGGTAGTTAGTATGCATATCCTAGAGTACTGTCTGAAGATACCAGAATGCCAAAAACGCTTGCTCGATCCCGAACTGCAGTAAGTCTTCCTGTTTAGGCTCCAAGCCTTTCAGTGCTCTC